ACTATTTAGCATGTCATTTGACGGTAACAAGAGCAAATTCAATTTAAATCTATTAAATACATTCTAGCGTGTCTCAGTCCTTTACCCACAAAAGCGGCTATAACTTTTTTTTTTCTATTCAAAACAGTAAGTGTTGCACCTTTCTGAAATCTTTATTAAATGAGCAATTTTTTTATGTAATGTAAAGTTATAGCTCAGTACATTTTTTTTCACCCGAGATAGTCAAAGTTGGGGAAGAAAATATCAAAAAGTTAAAATTCCAGAAATAGTCCTAATTTTATGATGGTTCCTTAATATATTTTAACTACATTGCATTTGAGTATGGAAAGGCAACTATCTGGAAGTATTTTAGATAAAAAATTTACTAAGTATTGCCCGGTTTGTAGTTGCAGTTAAAGAAAACACATGAAAAGGCACGATTTTTTTTTAATTCGAAAAAATGTAAATATTTCAAAAACGGTGACACTTTTACCTGAAAATTTTTTGTTTATCAGTGAGCTCACCCCCCCCACCTACCTTGCCCTAAAGTTTGGTACGTTACTTCTGGGACACCCTGTATGCAATGCTTGACGTATTTATTTGATTGTCTCCGTGGCGCTTAAGGTTCTGTTTTTGTTTACAAATGCAACCCTGCCTATCGTTTGACACTTTTCATAAACTTGCAAGAAGAAAACCTTCGGACTAAAACCTGCAACTTCTGACTGAGAGAGAGAGCAAGTTACTCTCACAAAAGTGGTTTGACTTACAGGTTTTTTGGCACCGGAACGCTTTCCTGCAAAAAAAAACCTGCAAATCGTGAATATCGTGAGCACCTGGAACGCAACTATTAATTGACCGTGGGCGTGTTCTTTTATTATTCAGTCCAGATCTAGAAGAGAATGATCGTGGAATTTATCAGTAACAAGGGTTATAAAGAAACAGAAGACAATGAAATTATTACACTGTACGGCAAAATCAACTTTTTTTCTGGGTATTAGACCAAACCAATTTTTTCAAGAGATTGACTCATAGGTAAAAAAAAGTAATTTCTCCGTTTTTTCAAAGTTAGCCTCCGAAATCGAGATATGGGCCTTCGAAATAGGACCTTTGGTAAAAAAATTATATTTAATTATTGCATATAAATAACTAAAAACATAAAAACACAGGCATAGTCTCCTTTTGCTCTTATTTAAATGGTATATAACTTTTTTTGTGCAAACTTATATTACAGGTGCTATAAAGGGTCAAAGTTCAGGTCATCGAAAAATTAAATCCCTATATTTCTAACAATTTTGAATTGATTTTTAAAAAACCGTTTTTAAGGTGATTAAACCCCCTTTCTTTCGATATGCATATTTGTATACTTCGTATATAAAAATTTTAGAAAAAACACATTTAAATTAAAAAATACCTCTTTTTACAAAAAACAATATTTTATACAAAAAAATTACTAACCGATTTTTAAAAAACTGAAATCGTTGTAAAGACGATTAAGTCCCCTTTCTTCTGATATGCATATTTGTATACTTCTTATATATTTAAAAACTTGAGAAAAAACACATTTTCTTTATAACTAACTAGCCAATGCCCGCTTGCTTCGCGGCGCCTAATAAGATCTTTTGCGTTGGCCAATACAAAAAGAGCGTTTAAAAGCAAAATCGGTCTGTAAAGTAAACATTTTTAGTTTAAATTGAAACGAATAAAGAGCAGAATCCTCCTGATACATAGGCCAAGAATAGTAGCGCTGTGATACCATATCCCTTTCAATGTTATGAGTTTTACCGATGGTCTTATTTCCACCTGTAAGATCTCTACCAAGCGTGCGTAATATTCTTCTATGATCTTGCAACTTCAACATTGGTCCGATGAACCATGTAAGCCAATAAAAGTCCTTATAAGGAAACTAAAGAGCACAGATGAGCGTTTTCTAAATGTAAATTATAAAATATAGCGGAATCATTTCTAGGAAACATATATGTTTAGAATGAAAAAAAAATCATCATGAAAGTAACAAACGATTCGAATTTGCATTAACAAAATCGGTTCATAAATAAGGCTTTTATCGGGTCCGTTTTTGGCAAATGCTTTTTTCATCATGCAGATAGCTTATAGTTTGAATTTCAACGAAATCGGCTCATAAATACGACTTTTATAAATAACTCGACTCCCGCGCCACCTAGCGGGGTTTTTTTTGGTAAACGTATTTTCCATCATGCTGGTAGCTTACATTTTGAATTTAAAATAACTCAGTTCGTAAATACGATTTTTATAAATAACTCAACTCCGGCGCCAGCTAGCGGGTATATTTTTCGCATACGTAGTTCTCATCATGGAGGTAGCACACTTTTTAAATTTGAACGAAATCGGTTCATAAATACGACTTTTATAAATAACTCGACCCCAGCGCCACCTATCGAGTTTTGTGGTAGCCTATAACAGGACCATATATGCAAGGTATAACCTCTGAAAATTTGACTGAAATCTATGCAGTAGTTTTTGAGTTAACTCCGAACAACGAAAACGGCTATTGTTTTATATATATAGATTAGTTATGAGCTTATTAATACAGTATATTTTGCTTTGATGCCTTTATGCTCAAGTGCACATTTAAGATAGCCACCCCGAAATGTGCATCAGCGGCATTATTTTTAACATTTATAAGGAAACTGCTCCGATAGATGCATTCAACATGCCTGCACATTAGCGATACCTGTTTTAAAAATTTGCAACTATTATCAATTATCAAAGAAAGTATTACGTTTACCTGCACTGGCTCTACACTTACCCTAATTTTACAAGCTTTTATTTATTTTGCTCATCTTGCAGAACAGCGAAAACGACTATCATTTTATTTAGTTATATAGATTATTAGATATCTTTCGCAAAAAATTTCGCTTGCAGTAATTTCTACGTAAAGTAGTAGTAGTAAAGAAAATTCGCTTAAGTGCATTTTTCGGATAAGCGCACAAGTTTTTCGTGCAAAGATGCCCATCCAAAAGCAAAATAAACTGTACTTTATTAAATTTTTTCGCAAAACAATTTGCAAAAACTTACTTTGGTTCTCTTGCGCCATTATTTGCATGCAATATTCTATGAATTTCGTACTAGAGCCGATTATCCGGCCTCATATTATCCGGGAACAACGTTCTAATGAATAAATGAACAGAAAAATGTATTCCGAATGTTCGGAATGTGAATAAAGGAGCTCTCGCCGTGTGTTAACAATGTTACCACGGTTGCCACTTTGATACAATTGTACCAAATATGGGACTTTTTTCTCCGTTTGGGATTTTGGGCCTTTTTTGTTTGTTTTGGGCCTTTTTGAAGAAACTATGGCTATCCGTTCATTTGGCGTTAGCGAGAGCTATCCATTTGTTTGAAATATGCAGCACTCGCTGCAGCTGTTCTGTTTGTTCTATTAATTGTTATCGCCATACTGATCTCTAAATTTTCGCTGCGAATACATATGTACAATGTTCACTGTACATACAAATCCCTGTGCGGAAAATATCTAGTTCTGAACTGATGCGCTTCTAGTACATTTAGACCCAGTATTGGTTCGCGGTAAATCTCGTTTGCATGCAAACAACTGGCGAATTTAACATGGCGATGTCCTACACTGAGGGAAAAAAGTATTAAAATCAAATAGAAACGTAATTGGTCTTACTATAAACGTCAACGAAAGTACTGTATATTGGTAAATATTCAATTCAATTACGCGCTTATTAAAATGACCACGTTCGTACTGAAAAAGCATCAGTGAAGTGAATAATCAAGACAAAAAGGTACATTATTACCTGCTCCTGACATTATTTTGTGTTACTTACC